GGTTGGGGGTGGGGGGGTGAGGGTGAAGGAATTGGTGAAGAGGGGAAGGAGGTAATGGCTAAGGAAGGGATTTAATGAAAGTCAAATAGCTGACGCTAATCGTGCTAAAACAATGCATAATGTATAGCTCTTTTTTTAAAAAAATAAATAATTAAATAACAACAGTTTGCAGTATAGAGACTTTCCTTTTAACTTAGAAAACTTTATGGTCAACACAAACCAACAACTTTCCAGAATACTTGACCCTATCAAACTTATTATTTTACATGAAGTTTTGGTTGCCATAGTTCATACTAATAATCCTAATGCTCAGATTCTAATTTGTTGTTAAGGTCCTCTTAAAATTTTGAATCTGAATCAAAGATCAATGGGAACTATAAATGACGTTCTTAGACAAGCAAAAGGGCGACTAAAATGAACAATTTCACACTTCCATATACTAGGTCCACACTACACACAAGATCCAAAGTAATCAATGTTGTATTCTGTTCATATCAATTGAAACAAATCAAGAAAAGGCTAACATGCAGATTGTCAAATGTCCAGAGGCTCAGCCCCGCGAAAACAAAAGAATGAATTTAACCAAGGGCAGTAAGCAAATACAAGCAAAAACAGGATGGTAAATATAGCATAAACTCTGCCTCATGGCTTTGATTCATCGGCATAGGTAGTACTGGGGAACCAAGTCTGGCATTTAAGTAGAGAAGGGTAGAAGGGAAGACCATTATTCACAGGATTTGAAGAGGGAACAACATAGTTATTGGTTATCAAAAAGAAAAAATGACAAAAACTCATGCTTGTGAACAACTTCGCCATACCTATGTAGATACAAGGCTAGTCCAAATCATTGGCATATATTGCTCCAACAGCATCTGCAAAGAAACTAAAGCCACCAAGCATAACGATCAACAAGAATTGAAGAGTGTAAGAACTAAACATATAACCAATAGCTCAGATGTCTATTGGGAGAGTGCAGAAGATTTCCTGCTGGAATCAAAATGAAAGATGTAGATCCCATTATCCCAATTCTCCAATAGAGAGAGGGATAGCTGTTTCCTTTATCAAAAGACAAGCATTTGTAGTCTGAAGGAAACACCATAAATCCAGATGTACTATGATTTACTTGGATGCATAAGTTTTGGTCCTAGTTTTAGACATGAACCAAGTTTTTCTTTTTTTTCCCGGATCAATTGTTATCCAAGTAACCATACCACTGAACAAAGTTAAAAATCTCAGAAATATAGGAACTTCTCCTTTTATAATTGCCTCTGCCGTCCCTAAATGGAGGTGTCTTTGCACATCCTAAATTACGCATTTAAGTCTCTAAAATGAGCACTCTCTTTTCTTCATCTACCTTAGTAGTTTATTGAATAAACTAATATAACATAAGATGTGCAGGCTACAGAAAATAGTTAAGAAATATGCTAACCAAAGATAACGCATACTCCAAGGCTTGTGATGGTGTTAGTAAAAACGAAAAGCATAAAAAAGAGCCAAGGTCTGCTGGAACTTAAGTGCAAGGTAAAGAACTGCGAAAATGAAGGGAAAAGGGGATTGGCATGCAAGCTCATACAACAATTGTTTTAACTAGAACGGAAACTTTTGTATAGTGTAAGGATTAAAAATCAAATCAGTCGATTTCAAGAACCATTTTAGTTTCCGATTCAAATGCAAATTTACAGTTTTAAGTTTCTAAGACAATTTTACTGACTCATTTCCAATTCCTTATCGCTAACATATATGCATTTCCTATTCCTAATCACTACTAATATATTCATTCATAGTATTTCCTTAACCAAAAACGTGAGTTGCCAAAAATGGATCCGGGGGACTTGAGGTATTCCTCCATACATTCTACAAACGGCTGATAGGAGATAAAGGAAAAGATAAAATAGTATAGGAAGACAAAGGAGAAGATAAATTATTACAGGAAGGGAGAGGAGTAAAGTCATTCACGGTCTCGTCATTCTACACAAAGTTCGTTGTAGCTGGGAATAGGAACAGTATGGGAGACCAAAGCACCTCAAATGGCAGCTTTCTCCACTTGATCTGCAGTCTGAGGTGAAATTAATCTGAAAAATAAAAAAGGAGAGTGGGGAGGAGCTGCTGTTATGTTATGTGAGGAGTAGTGGGAAATCACTGATCATAACTTACTTCAGCTACAAGTTATTGCTCCTCAGATTTTCCTTGTTCGACAGCTTGGGTGATGCCGAGGACAGTGGAACAGACTGCTACTTGTTGAAGCGCATAGAGTGTAGGCAAGACAACTAGGGCAGTATGGAAGATCATACTTATGCCTTCTCTGGACACATGGAATATAAGGAATAGGAGATCATTTAAAGAAGCGAGAAGGATTTAGGATGCATCCAAATGTCTCTTTTTCACGTATCATTTTGGTGTAACGGTAGCATTCGGGTGTATATGCGATTGGGACAATTTGATGAATAATGGTGGTTGAACAGGGTGGTATGGAAAAACACTCCCTTATGCCTTTATAGACTACATAGACTGAAAGGAATAGGAGATCATTTCATAGCAGTTAGAATGATATTGAATTTGAATGTATCAAAACATAGTTATTTCATGTATCTTTTTTATGTAAAGAAGCATTCGAGTGTGTATAGCCGAGTGGGACAATTTATAGTCACAGTGTTTGAGCCTCCCATATAGTTGTACGTATTTTTTGACATTAACTTGGTGTCAAGGATTTAGCTTTACGGAATAAATGCTTATTAATGAAGCGGCTATGGAGGTACATTCAGGAGAATAACTGTCTGTGGAAGGAAGTTGTCAATGCCAAACATGGTGTACAAAACCACTGGTACACTAAACAATCTAAGAGCACCACATGGAGTTGGAGTTTGGAAGCATATCTGTAAACTTTGGGAGGAGTTCTCACAGAATATGCACTTTGTAGTTGGGAATGGACATCATATCAAGTTCTGGAAGGATAAGTGGCTGGGCAGCACAACTTTAATGAATGCCTATCCTGCAATGTACCAGAGAGCCTGACTCAACAATATGCCATTACAGGGAAGACAACACTTGGAACATAATTTACAGAAGGAACCTACAAGATTGGGAATTTGAGGAATTGCTCAGACTACTGGCCACCCTAAATGGCTTCTCGAGCAACCAATTAGCACCAAATCAACTCATATAGGGAACTACACACGCAGGAAGATACTCAGTGAAAGCAGCCTACAAATTTACTGGAACTCATAATGCAATTACTGACCAGTGGCCATGGAAGCTAATTTGGAAGGTCAAACTACCACCTAAAGTTTTTTTTTATAAGGTAAGTTGTATTAATCAAACGGGAGAGAACTCCCGTATACAGGAAGTATACCAAAAAGTAGAGAATTTACATCAGAATATGATTCTCTACAAAAGACGCCCGATTTTCTATACAAGTAGGGGCTATATGAGTGTACCACAAAGCGATCAAAGATAAAAGACTATTCTTAAGATGTGGAAAAGGAGACTCAATCCCCTCAAAAACTCTCCTATTTCGCTCCCCCCAAACTATCCACATGACAGCTAACGGAGCGAACTTCCATGCTTTTTGCTTTCTTCTTCTATGGAAACGGGCCCAGCTACATAACATTTCCTTTACTGTGCTTGGCATCACCTATTGAACACCAAAAAGATTCAGGATTGCCCTCCACAAAGCCAAGGACATAGGGGAATGCAACAAAAGATGGTCAACTTCTTCCCCTGAGCTTTTACACATGTAGCACCAACTAACAAGTGTAATTCCGCTCTTTCGCAGATTTTCAGCAGTCAAAATCACTCCCCTCGCCGCTAGCCATGGGAAAACACCCCTTCGTGGGCGCCTAAGGAATTCAGATCGAGGAGTATGGAAAAGTGTCCTCCTCTCTCACCAACATACTCTGGTAAAAGGACTTTACGATGAGCAAAACATCGCCACGCAAACCCCATCTCCAAGAATCACAAGATGGTTGGGGCCTGTCTTGCCCATATAGCAGTGTCAACAAATCTTGGAGCTCAGCAATCTCCCAATCTTGCATGTTAACTACCACCTAAAGTTATCTGCTTCAATTGGACTGCACTTCATGGAGCTTGCCTAATACAGGATAACTTGGCCAGAAGGAACTTCTCTATGGCTAATAGATGCTTTATGTGCCAGAGGAAAGCAGAGTCACACAGTCACCTCTTTCTACATTGCACAATCGCCGGAGGTCTTTGGAATATGTTTTTATCTCTTTTTGGACTCAGATGGGTCAAGCCACAAAACTTCAGGGAAGCTTTTGAGAGCTGGAGCCTTAGGAAAGTTGATAGCTCCATCAGGAAAATATGGAAGATGATACCTGCAGCCATTTCTTGGACTATCTGGAATGAACGGAATAGAAGGTGTTTTGATGGGATATCAACTGCTCAATCTCTCAAAGCTTTTTGCCTAGTGTATTAATTTAGTTGGGCTTATTTAGCCCCTGTAGATTCTCCTGATAGTTATCTGAACTTTGTTAGCTCCCTAGTACTAAGCTGATTTTTTTTTTTTTGCCCTTTTGTATTGGAGCTAGCAATTTTCATTACTTTTGTAACTATTCTGCATCTTCTTGATGCCATCAATGAAACCAATTACTTCATCAAAAAAAAAAAAACTGTGTGATATCGAGCCATCGAGGAAATGATCTTGACTTTTCAACAAAAAAAAAAGACCAGCTTAATGCTGCCAAATTGTCGTGGCTACAGCAGTTAGCAGAATAATTCTGATCAAGAAGACAACTTTATCAATGAAATGAAAAAGAGAGACGAGCGGAAAGTTGCCATCTACTGCAGTATATTGTAGTAACACTTATGGACAGCTCAGGATAATCAATTAAAAGCACAGAACATAGGCGTACTGTATGATTCAAAGTGATATATCTCTCCTTTACTATGACATTAGGTTATATTTTTGGAATAATTAGGAAGAACTCACCTTGCCATACAGCAGACACATTGGAGCATGAAACAACTGCAGAGCAGAGTCAATAATGAAATTCCTCAAGAGACTGCTAATAACGTTTCTCTGAAAGCACTCCAGAGTCCAGACACAGCATATATTACTTCGCAAGCAACAATAGCACTCATGGGAAAACCAAAGAAGTGGGAGCCAAACTCTTCACTACCCTCAGTTAATACGTCCTGCAGTTCCTCAGGAGACACCTCGTCTACAGTATGAATTTGAAACAGAGCCGCGCTCTCTTGATATGACAAGAAGAAGAGGGGCCTCATACAGCAATAGACTGCCACTGACACCCACCTACTTGACACCAACTTCATTTCCTACCCCCGGTTACCAATAACCAAATACCAGGATGGGACCACATAAGTTTGCTTGGTTAAAAACCAAACCATAGTTGTTTTTTAGCTATCAAGAAGTGGGTTCACTTGACTCTGACAATGTAACAATTTGGTCACAATTTGCTTGGACTGAGTTTCACTTTAGCCTCCTTTTTTCTATTCTTCAAATGAACTTTTTTTCTTTTCAAAACCCATTTCTTTGAAAATATGTTTAGTCTCAAATAAAGATATTTTAGTCAATTTGATTAATCATAAAGGCTCTAAAATGCTTTAAGAGTTTTCGTCATATTATTTTCCAATAAAAGAAATTCAACACCAATTCTTCCAAAAACAAATCCAATGTTTGTTAAACACTAAATACCAATAGTCAAACTCACATTTGTTTTCCGGAAAACAAAATCAGTACCAATTCTCCCAAAACAAAATCATTTTCTAACCAACACCATCATAATGTCTCCACGCAAAATGGTGATCAGCTTGTTCATTGATACAACATGTCTTACAATCTTTTTCATCGAGACAAGTATCTGCTCATCAACTGAGACATGAACCAACAAATTATTCTCAGATTTCATTGCATCGGGAGACGAGTAATGATTGATTCAATCAAACAGAAACTTTATAACAGAAATATAAACAGTATGAAGATTATGCAACACGGAAAGAAGAAGACTCAAGAAAAGGAGTCGCAGAGCACCTACATTGTGAGTATTTGTACAGCAGAATACATCATTGATGGACATAACAAGCTCCTTACAATGGAACTTTGTCCCTTGCTTCCAACAAGATACAAATGAAGCTCACTAACCAAATCAATTAACACAATCTGAATTCTCAGTGCCAGATGATTAATGATTTCCATACTAACCACTAAGCCCAAAGAATGAAACAATTCCCATTGCACTGCTCAGCCGAACAGACAGAAATACCGAATAGATGATGATAAGGCCTACACCAAGCATCTTGTTAGGGCGCATGTCATTCCTGGGAAGAACAAAGAGGGCCCATAGCAAACCAGACATGAGGAAACATATGGTGAAGAACAAGCTTTTGTCCCGTGGAAGTATGAAAGAAGAAGGCTTCTCTGACCAGGCACCGAGAAATAATGAGATTCCTAACCCAATAAGTGTATTGAACATGGGACCTGCATAGCATCCAGATAAAGCAATCTGCACACCATCTCCACCATTCATCGCCAAAGCAACATTTGAGACCAGATCACCCATTGAATTGCCCCAAGCCAAAACCGTTAGCCCAAGAATTGAAGGATTAACCCCCAGTACCACACCCAATCCAACCAGCAGTGCCACCAGTTCATTCGCAATCATATAAAACCAAACGATACTCATAATAAAACCCCCCAAAACCCATGGAAGCAAAAACCTCTGAGGTGGCCGGTCAGCTCTTGTATACTTGTATGCAAGAATACCCAACGTGCAACCAGTAGAAATGCCAAAAAATATTGCAACATTTCTGCCTAGGGTGCCTGCATTGTCGTGAGTATTCCATAAAGCTGCTAGAAGAACAGGAGCTAAAGCAGCACTGCCTACAGCATATGGCTTTGACCAAGTTTCCTCCTCGACTAGGGGAATTGTCAACCGTCTTGGCACAGTCAATGGCAGCTCCAGAAGTGAACAGAGCTGAGAGCAGGAAAATGACGGGCTTTTGACTTCTCCATCCTCCTCAATCCATCCCCACAAAGGTCTTTCCCCATCATGCACCTTCAATGACTGATTAGAATATATTGCCACATTTGATGCCCACATCCACTGCGGCAAGGAACTATGTGACTGTACGCTCCTCTCTTCTGTCTCAACATCAAGCAAAGAGCTATAAATGGAGTCATCCTCCTGAGTCCCTTCAGAAAATATACTTCCTCTAACAGGAAGCAAAGGGGTAACAACATCCAATCTCAATTGTCGCGCATGCTTCCTCAACATCTCATTGGCAGCAACAACAAAGGCATAAACAACATATATCAATATAAATGCAATGGTTGCTCCGACACTAACCTCACCAACAATCAAGATTAACAATAGTGACATCAGAGTCACAATGAAGAAGACAATATCCCTAATAAAGCATTTCCGGTCAACCTGAACATCCTGATCAGCTACACAAAGAGAAACAACACCCACAACAATACAAGTAACAAACACAGCCCCACCTAAAACACTGTTAAGCCCAACATCACCAGCACCACTTCCTACAAAAGCAGCAATACTCGCAAATACATCCGGAGCGCCATTACCAAGCGGGAGTAAAACAACTCCAGCAACCGTAGGCGATAGCTTCAACAAGCTAGCCAGTTTCTCCAAGGAACCACAAAAGTAATCAGCTGCAGTGTTACCCAAAAGATAGAACAATGCAGCAAGCCAAACACCAAACACTACATAAGCCCACGCACTTCCATTACAATTACAGTAATAGAACTTTAAGTAATCAAAGAACCCCCCGGAGGAGCAATCCGGATGAGCTTTCAAGAAATCACAACTACTCTTATACCCCGTGTGATCAAACAATCCTGCACATAACTGAGGCTTTTTTACAGCAAAATCATTAGCATCTGCAGACCCGTTTACTTCTAATACCCCTCGACGAATCACACGTGTATAGAAAGAATAACCACCAAAACTACTCCTTGTGTGCCACTGACTAGGAACTAAAGATGACTCTTTTAAAATTGGATTGGTCACAATATCTTCACTGTTATAGAACATAAACAGTAGAACTAGGGCACATACAATATTGAACAACCCACGAAGCCATGGACTTTTTCTAATGAAAAAACCATTAGATTTCTCCATTTGTCAACAAATATTTCAAATTACCCAAGAACCATGATCCTCGGTTTTTCAATTAAAAACCTACTGTAACTCGGGTAAAGCAACGAAAAGTCTTCGAATTGGCCTTGAATTTCGTGTAAGACCAAAAAAATAGCTCAAAAGCAGAAAAGGGTACTTACCAGATTGATAGGGTTCTTGGGGAAAAAACGAGGGTTTGAAATTCAAAGCGAGCTTTGAGGGGTAAATGAAGGAAGTTGAGGTTTAAGGAGTTAAGGTCTAATGGAGATTGATTGTGATGAATTGTCTTTGCTCCTTTCGGAGAAGCTTCCTGCAATGGATTCCCTTCACAATCCTTCAATGTTCCCTTTGGAAGGTAATAATGGTAATGGGTCCTAGTAAAGTCGTATTTCCTTTTTCTTTTTCTTTTTTTTGTTGGTTAATTTCCTTTTTCTTTTTTGGTTTAAATAAATAATATCATTTGACATACTTATTTTTCTTATCAGTACATGTGTTCGCTTTTTATACATATTTTGGCTACTTGATTTTGTTACGCCTCATCACTTATTAACGTGAAAATAACATGAGCTAGCCAGTTTTTTGAAATGGTAATCAAAACATAGCTAGTAATTACAAAATTATTGAAAAATAGTCATTATTTTTGCTGAAACACGGAAAATTTCTGCATAATATAATGATTTTGGATCTCCTACATATAAACTTCTAACATATTATGTTGGAACTCCAAGATATTATGTTGGAATCTTGTATGTAAAAGATTCGAACTCCAACATATTATGCTGGAATTTTTTCTAATTTTTAAAGTTATTTTATTGAGATTTTATTTTTTCATAAAAAAGTAATTACTACTTTTCAATTACCAATTATAAATTTGGCTATTTCTCTTTTTTTTTCCCCATATTAGTCTCTTGCTTTTAGGGGCGGTCTCCATACTTATTTTTTTAGAATGTAATAATTCAAATGTAAATCCATCATGGTATATAATTCCTAAGTTAAAATCCTTTTTGTCTATCATTAAATTTTTTTGGAATTAACTATATGGATTTAGAAGATCCAATAAATAAGTAGATAGTGTTAGTATTTTAGCATTTTAATATTAAAATAAAATATGGCATAATTCTCACTACTCCATGATGTAGAAAATGACCATCACTCTTTTGTAACTCTTCTCACATGTTCTCCATGATTTCATAACTTACTACCCCACTTTCTTCCAATTTAATACAAGGAAGAATTTTTACACCTATAAATAGGAGTCTTTCTTCCATAATGTGGTATATGAAAAATAATTGAGGTTGTTTCAATAAAGTTATGAAGAAAAAAAAGAGTTTTTACTTTTGTTGAAGGAAGGTGTTCATCTGGGTGGAGTTTTGGACTCAACAACTTGTCCAGAGTTTGTTCGAGTCATACGACGTGATCGGGTTGTTGTATCCTGAGGGAGACAAGTCAAGAAGATTACTGTTGGACCAGTTGTTGCAGTGGGCTTGAATCTCTTTAAATAGAGCGAGATATCCACACCTCAGCCTTAACATATTTTATTTTTTTCATTTTATTTTTCAACTGTAATTGTATTTTCACCAATAATTTTAAGGAGATTCAAATGGCTACAGTTAAAAAAATCCGCGGATACCAAGGTAGGAGATCTCAACAAGCCATTTTGTTTCAATGGTGCTCATTTCAAGAGATGAAAGGGTAAAGTACTTTTTTATTTGAGTCTTCTCAATGTTTCTTACGTTTTAACTGAGAAAAGTCCAAGCAAATAGACAACTCCTCCATGAATGATGATGAGCTAATTGCCCTTCAAAAAAAATTGAAAAATATAACGATGATTCATACAAGTGTCGGTATTATCTTCTTAATTGTCTATCTGATAATTTTTATGATTATTATGACAAAACTTACTCTACTGCAAAGAAAATTTGGAAAGCATTGTAGAGTAAATATGACACTGTGACGACCCGACCAGTCGTCTCATGAGTTACCACTTCGGTTTCCCCTATTTCAGCTTATTTATGCTTCGTTATCCGTGTTTTATGTGATCGGGTTGATTAGTTCGAGTTCGGAGAGGATTTGGTAAGAAATGAGACACTTAGTCTCTTTTAAGAAGGGTTAAGTTGGAAAAGTTAACCGGATGTTGACTTATGTGTTAGAAGGATCGGAAGTGAGTTCTGATGGTTCGGTTAGCTTCGGGAGGTGATTTGTGACTTAGGAGCACGATCGGAAAGGGTTTTGGAGTTGTAGAGAAGATTTAGGCTTAAATTGGCGAAGTTGATATTTTGGCGGTTCCGGTTAATAGGCGAGATTTTGATATAGGGGTCGGAATAGAATTCCGAAGTGTCAGTAGTTTTGTTGTGTCATTTGGGATGTGTGTGCAAAAGTTTAGGTCATTCAGACGATATTTGGTAGACATTTCGATCGAAAACATAACTTAAGAGTTCTTGGAGTTCTTAGGCTTGAATCCCTTGTTAAATTGGCGATTTGATGTTGTTGTGAGCGTCCCGAGGTTTTGAAAAAGTTTAAACGATGTCATGGGATGTGTTGGTACAACTGGTTTGAAGTTCCGGGAGTTTCGGGTAGGTTTCGAGATGTTTTGGGCCAAAAATCATAGCTGTAACAGGTCCAGAAACGTTGCAGGCCTTGGAACCTACCCGCGCGGACCGCACAAAAGGGAGTGCGACCGCAGTATGTGCTGTGCAGACCGCACAAAATGAAGTGCGGCCGTGGTGGTTTTGTGCGGGCCGCGGTGCTTTTGCGCGGACCGCGGTGGTTCTGTGCGGACCGCGGAGGCTGAGATATGAGGGTACTCTATAAATACGAGGTTTTGGGTTTTATTTGATATTTTGACCTACAGAGCTCGGATTTTGGCGATTTCTCGAAGGTTGTAAGTGATTCTAACTCAGATTTGGCTAGAGTACATGAATCTATCATTTAATTCATGATTTGGGAAGGAAATTGTGAAACCTTTCAAAAATATAAAATAATGATTTGAAAGACCAAATGGTATCGAAATTGGATAATTTTGGTATGGTTAGACTCGTGAGGGTATGAGGATTCTGAAAATGTAAATTTTACCCGATTTTGAGACGTGGGCCCAAGGCTCGGGTTTTGCTAATTTTGGATTTTTTGATATTTTTCGAATGTTTTCGCTTGGGCTTTGTTCCCTTAGCATATTGTGACGTATTCGTTCTGATTTTGGATAGATTTGATGCGCGTCGAGTCCAATTCGAGGGGCAAAGGCGTCGCAAGCTAGAGAATTAGTCGGTTCGAGGTGAGTAATGAATGTAAATGATGTTCTGAGGGTTTGAAACCCCGGATTTGCAGATCGTAGTGTTGTATTGAGGTGAGACACGTGCTTGATGATGAGCGAAGGGTCGTTTACTATTGGGGATTGTGACTTGGTTCGTCCCGAGTGATGCTTTTACCGCGTATTTTGGTTGAAACTTATTTGTTCTCATCAATGTTTGAATTGACTGCCATATTTGGGCTTCGTGCCAATTATTTGAACCCTCCAGGGAGTTTTATCACTATTTCCTCACTGTTTTGACTTACTACTTGAACTCAGTCGTACCGTTTTCCACTGTTTTACAACTCAGCCACTTTTTTACTCGGTTTTGAAACTAAAATGATATATTAAATGATGTTTTGGGATGAGAACTACTATTTTACTAATGCCCGAGGGGCTTATATGATTTTTGGACTGTACGGCCAAGGGCCAGATGTGAGGATACTATAGGATCGGGCTACGCGCCGTAGCAGTGTTATACTGATATTGATATGAGTCTAAGGGCCTAGATTTGATGCCACGAGATGGCTTGATATTACGCTTGGGCCGTAAGGGGCCCCTCCCGGAGTCTGCACACCCCTAGTGAGTGCCGTCAACGATAAATGTATGGATCGGGCTGCACGCCGTAGTGGGTACTGTAGGGTACTGTTCTATGTGTTAGTTTTCTTTATATGTCTGTCACTTAACTTCTTATTTGTTGTAGCATTTCCATATTTCGTTTCCATTGGTTTATTGGTTCCATATTACCTGTTTAAACTGACGCATTATAGATTACTCTGTGTTTTCCATGATTTCTTATTCTCAGTCATTATTTATGCTTATTACTCACTGGGTCGGAGTACTCACATTACTCCCTGCACCTTGCGTGCAGATCCAGGTGTTCCAGAGGCTGAGTGAGGATTTTCAGTCGATCAGTTCATATCCGGGAGTATCGAGGTAGCTGCACGACGTCTGCAACCCGGATCTCTCCCTTCTATCCTTTCATTTTATCCCATTCCCTAGATTGATATGTATTAGGGTGATAAACTGGTATTAGAGGCTCAGACTTGTGACACCAGATCTATATAGGCTATGTAGTAGTAGTTTTATCATTTGAAACTCCGCCTATTTAACTCGGGTTTCAGACTGTTAATATGGTGTTTTGGAAATTTAACTGTGTTAGCTAATAATGAACTATATAAGAAATGGGTTGAGGTTGTTAATTGGTCAAGCTTGCCTAACAGTGTGTTGGGCGCCATCACGACCGGGGTTGGGGTCGTGACAAGTTGGTATCAGAGCCTAGGTTACAAAGGTCTCGCAAGTCATGAGCCGGTTTAGTAGAGCCTCGCGGATCGGTACGGAGACATCTATATTTATCCTCGAGAGGCTGTAGAACCTTTAGGAAAAACTTCATATTCTTGAAATTCTGGTCGTGTGACTTTGTTGATCCGAAAACTAAACTTCTATTATTCCATTCTCTTACAGATGGTGAGGACGCGAGCTACCGGACGAGGTGGACGACCACCAGTGCCACCTACTGAGGCCACCAGAGGCCGGGGACGCGGTCGTGGACGTGGCAGAGGCAGAGCAGCGAGGGCAGCACCTGTTGATCCCCCAGCTGCCCCGGCTCCAGATCAGGCTCCAGCAGCACCACTAGTTGTGCCCATCGTGATTCCGGGTCTTCAGGAGGCCTTGGCACAGATCTTATCAGTTTGCACTAGCCTAGCTCAGGCAGTTTCAGCTACTACCGCTGCAGCTACTTCACATGCCGGGGGAGGCAATCAGATCCCCGCTGCTCGCACACCTGAGCAGGTAGTGCAGAGACTACAGACGCCGGGGAAACCTCTTGCTCAGCCGGTTGCACCAGTTCAGGAGTTCATGGTACCAGTTATGCCGGATGATGAGCAGCGTCTTCTTGAGAGGTTTGGTAGACTCCAGCCTCCGTCATTCAGTGGTGCTGAGGGTGAGGATGCCCAGAGTTTTCTTGACAAGTGTCAACGGATGCTCTGTACAGCAGGGATCCTTGAGTCTAGTGGTGTAGCATTTACCACCTTTCAGTTCTCGGGGGTTGCCTTTACTTGGTGGGAGGATTTTGAG